CACTTGACCAGTTAATATGAACCCTACCCCCGCTACCAGGAGAATCTGGACCATCTACTTTGCATATCCCTTCTGGAGTTGTTTCTAATTGTTTCACAATAAAATGGAATATTTCCAGGAAGTAGCTGGTTTCGACCTAACCATATGAGTGAAATCTCACTGACATTACGGGGTCAATGACCATACCTTCAGAGAATAGGTATTTTCCTACCTGCCTTGATGATCAGGGATATAGCAGTATATGCCCAGATCAGGAAGTGTAAAAGCTGAAAATGGGGTTGGAGACAGAAAGTCCAATGTGTTGCTGGCCACTGTGGTGTCACTGCTCCTGATACAGGTGTAACCTGAGTCCTCACTTGGGAGACAGAAATCAGCTGAGAAGAGGTCTCGGGAGAGAGGCTGCCCTGGCCCGGGAGGGTGGATGAAGTGGGGCCTCAGAACAGCTCATCTCATCGAGCAGGCTGGACCCCTGGGTTCCTGACTTGCACTGAAGGGTTTGGGTAAGTCCCTTCTGTGGCACCTTGGGCAACCTGCGAAGTTAGGACAACAGTTCTGACAATTGACCCCGAGGTGTGAGCAGAGCGCTTTGAGAGGGGATGCTGAATGAGAGTGCCCTGGTTATTCCCCCTCCCTGGCCCCCATCCTTCACGTTGGCTCTGCCACGTAAAACTGATGCCTGAGCTCAGGGCGCCAGGGCGGCCAGACATTGAGGCCCGAACATCCCGGGACCTACATTTCAGGACACGGAAGACCCAGGCCTTCCTTAGGCTTCTCCAGGAGATCTGCAGGCCGCACAAGAACCCTAACAGGCCTAGTCCTGCCTCAGGGTCTCTGGGCTGCTCCATCCTCTGGAAAAGGGTGTTTGCCTCAGGCGACAGAGGAATGGTTAGGGAGGCGCACTCTGCGTCCCTACTGGGCTGCGGGGCCCACGCCCCCACCCACCGTCCCCTGCCCGGGCAGCCCCAGGCTGGTTGGAAGGGCGGGGCGGGGCGCAGGTTTGCGGAGGAGGGCTCAGACTGGCAATGTGCGCAGGGGGTGGGGAGCAGGGACTGCGAGGAGAGACGACCCTCTGCTCCACAGCAGGGGAGCCGCCACCCCATGAGGGGGATCCCACCGCGCCTGACGCGATCTTCCCGTCGAGATCAGCATCCGTGGCCCCACCCCACGGCCCGCTGCCTGCTGGGATTTGTAGTTCGTGGGGGGACGGGGTAGGAATGGCAGGCGCGCGTGCGTGTGTGTGCACGTTCATATGAACGTGTGTGAGTGTGTCCCGGGGTCCGCTGTGGCTTTCCCGTCCCCCGACCTCGCGAGGACAAGGACTTAGCGAGGAGATCGCAGGCCGCAGCTTCCGAAGCCCCGCCCCGCGGCCCGTTGCCTGCTGGGATTTGTAGTTCGCAAGGGCTCGGACCTGGGTCGGGGCGAGGGTGAGGCAGCACCCGGGGCCGCGCCTAGTGCTCTCTCCAGTCCGAATTTTCCCCGCGGGTCCTGGATCTGGACCGTGGTTCCGGGACTAGGTTCATTACAGCGGCCGGGCTCCCCGTGGCTGTTTCGGCTGACCCCGCGATGTACCTGCCAGCGCCTGCAGGACCAGCCTCTAGATGGGCAAACTGAGGCACTGAGAGGGTCTGCCGCGGTGTTGAGTGAGGACTTGGCCGGGAGACCCAGCCCAGGCCTGGCGGACAGGGCTGGGCTAGGCGAGGGTCCAGGGCCCTTTCAGTTCGCAAGAGTCTGCGATCAGTGGTGTCTCACAATAATGAACAGGCCCACTAGGACTGGCTGTGCACATTAGGAGCCATTACCTTACAGGGCTGGCTGATAAAATTTTACTTGCCAAATTTGACAACCCTACAGAAGGGAGTCCAGGGAGGGAGGAAGTCTCTCTGACCCAGAAAACCTGTGGG